CAAGCCGATGATGTGGAAGTGTCTGCTGCTCTCATGGTCTAGAGCCTCACACAGTGACCTACAGTATGAGGTTTGGTGCCTGTGCTTGCAAAAGCTCTGCACATAGCAGGAGTCAGTGACATCTACTGAGTGAAATGGAATTAGTAAATGTGCTTGCAGGGGCTGAGGAGGTGGCTCCTATAAAGGACGCGAGAACCCGAGTTCAGATCCCCAGCATCCATGAAAGGGCTGGGTGTCGCGGGACACTCCTGTAATCCCAGCGCTTGGTAGGTGAGCTTTGGGACCAGTGCAGGGCTAGGATCAGCTGAATCCCTGGAGCGCTTTGGCCAGCTGGTTCAGCTGCATCAGTGAGCTCTAGAGATGTCTGCATCAGGTCCACTGACGGAGCCTGCCTCAAAAAATAAAGTACAGAGGGCCAGAGAGATTGCTCGGCAGTTATGAGCACCGGCTGCTCTTACAGAGGGCCGAAGTTCAGGTCTAAGAACCCCAGGAGCTCACAACTGCCTATAACTCCAGCTCCAAGGGATCCGATGCCATCTTCTGGCCTCTGCAAGCACTCTCACCCACATGGCACTCACTCTCTCTCTCTCTCTGCTCTCTCTCTCTCTCATATACACACACAAATAAAATAATAAAAAAGTGGCAATCAATAGAAGAAGACAATATCCACCATGGCTTCTTCATGCATGTGCACACATACACACACACACACACACACACTGAACACATATGCACACCCATATACACATGCAAAAAAATTACCTACAAATATAAGAATCTGGGTTCAAATAAGAGACTAGTTACCTTGCCCTGCGTTACCTTTAATGAATACTTACGTAAACACACACACACACACACACACACACACACACACACACACACACACACACACACTATAACTAACTTACCGGTGAAAACCGCTCAGAGGAAGAGGAGTTTGAGCTGGAGTTCTGAGGAGGCAGTGTCAGAACAAGAACATTGTTCATATATTCAGGAGCTGTGACGCCGTCCTCAAAGTAATGGTTACTGCAGTAAAAGCACAGGTTCCTTGTTACATTAGCACCCAACAGGGATGGACACATTATAACACAACTGAACTGCTGTAGCTAGGATGGCCATCACTTACTTCTCAGTCTGTTCTCTGCTGACCACCCCATTAGCTCTTACCTTAATGTGATTGACTTACCCTTAAAACTACACTATTCGACTTAATCTCAAAATGCTAACAAACACCCAACAGAATCCCTTGTCAGAATTCAAGTTGAGCATGTTAGGTTTTGTTTTGAATCTCACATTGTTTCTTTAAACTTAACCATTTGTCCCTGGGGCAGGAGTCACAAGGAAAGCCAGTACAGTTGACTGAAAATTCATTATACCAAATTAACCACACTGATGACTCCTTCCCCTGAGCAAATCAGCTACTGAAGTCAACGTGAGGGCGGGAGCAAAAATCTGCTATCATTGCTGTCTCTCCTTGCACAGCTAGAGAGCCAGCCAGTGGGTTGTTTATGGGCATGGTCACTTGACTGTCAATTGAGCCTGTGCTTCCAGCATTCCTGTTTCCTTTCATGCTGGGAAAAGCGGGTTTAGCCTCGAGTAATGACTAGGCAAATAGAGGAACATCACAGCAATGTATGACTCTGGTCTGAAGGCACACGGGTAATGATTAATGATCTAGACAGATAAGTGGGTCGTATGGTGTACTTATGGGACAAGGGGCACAGGTGTACCAGTGTCACCTCTTCTTAGGGTAGCTTAAGTATTGCTTTGGTATAGTGTGTTAGTATAGTGACTCTCTCTCTCTCTCTCTCTCTCTCTCTTTCTCTCTCTCTTTCTCTTTCGTGGTTTTCTCAAGGTTACCATCACTGAGTAATCTTGCCTTGAAGGACAAAGAATAACTGTATAAATCAGACCCTGTTGTCCACAACTTCAGACTTTCCAAAGATGGCTGATGATAAGATAATCTGAAGCAAAAGACCATTAGCAACTAAAGCAATGAAGTGAGGTCTACACTCCCAGGGGAACTGTTGTGGAGTTTCTAGTTGATTTTTTTCCCGAGCAAAGATCTCAAGCTCCACCTGGGGCTCAGGATCCTGTGTAGATGAGTAGACCTCAGAGATGAGTGGATGGGGCTGTAGATGCAAGGCAAGTGCCAAGGAAAGCATTTCTGCTTAAGGCCACAGCTGACTAGGTAGGCATGAGGTGCTGTGAGAAAGGAATGAGACTGGAGTTCAAGTGTGATAATCACGAGGCTGCCTAACGCAAGCGAGAGGAGGACGTGCTGGTCGCCATCCACATCCTTCTGAAGGGAGGATGCTTTCCCAAGAACGTCGTCATACCAACCTGAACAGATCTACCAGGATAACCACAGTGTCTTCCGCCACTTTGAGGTCACCCTTCACACTATAGAAGTTTTCTGGCGTGCCACACATAACAATCACTGAAGTAAGAAAGCAGAAGAGAGATGAGACCATGGACACATCAACTAGCTTCCTGAACTTGAACCCAACATATTCATGTTATTTATTCTTGTTGTTATATTTCTCTTCCTTCCTTCCTTCCTTCCTTCCTCCCTCCCTCCCTCCCTCCCTCCCACCCTCCCTCTCTTTCCAAAACAGGGTTTCACTGTGTATTCCAGACTTGAACTCACTACATAGTCCAGGCTGGCTTTTAATTCATGTCAATCCTCCTGCCTCAGCTTCTGAGCGCTAGGATTATAGGCACGAGACGCCACACTTGTCTCTCATGTTACCTTTGTTAACATGATTGACCCCAGTTCCCCAAATCTCTTCTGCCCCATTTTGCATTTAGTTACAGAGTCAGAATAGAACTGTGTAGAATCTTTGAAATAGAAGCCAATACCAAAGGGGCTAAGGGCTGGAAGAAGAGAAGGTTGGTGAGTAGGATTCATGCTAATGAGCCCTGCTTCTGTCACACTGGTGGGTGATTTCACATGCTATTTTCATCAAAGAGTTGCCCACATCTCATCATTTGCGTTTGAAAAATATAGAGAAAAGAGGAATGTGAGAATAGTTTATAGAACCCCTAAGCAACCATCTTTGGTTCGTGCCTGTAGTTTCTTAACTTAGAACCCAGACTTAGATATTGGAATGACAGAATTACTTGGAGCCTCTCCCTCTAATCTAGTCACTGCCTGAATGTGTGATTCTAGTGTGGGAAGAGCAAGAGGGGACACTTTCTCGAATTTTTGCTGTTGTTTAGAGATAGGGTCTCAGTATGCAGCCATGGCTTTCCTGGAATTTGCTACATGGACCAGCTTGGCCTCACACTGTCTCTGAAATCCTGGGATTAAAGAAAGGTAAGCATTACCACACAGGCTTTTGTTAGATCTTTTTGAATGCTATGTCACCCAGGTGAACTGTAAACTCTTTAGGATCATGAATAGTTTTATGCTTCCCCCTCCGCATCTTGGTTGACTGGTACTTTCTTAAAATAACAAATCCTTGGTCATAGCAGCAAATGATCATTTGAATGATGTCTGTAACCTGCCAAGCGAGAGTCTTCCCTTACAGGAGATTGCCATACTCCATTCTTTATTTCTGATGTCCTTAGGAAGGGCATTGCCTGCAAAGTATAGCAGATCACTTAATGGTTTGGTGAGAATACTTTTATCCACTAGCCTTTCACACCTAAACTTTAGCTCATTGGACAGGTGAGATCTGGATTAGAAAAATGAGGAAGTGAAATCACCTTGCTCACCTTGTGATTCTATCTGAGGGGCTATGTAACAGCACTCTTGGTCGCCAGATCACGGTTGAAGATGTTTGAGGTCTAGTCACAAATCCAGTAAAACATTGGATGCGTTAAGGGGTAAAGACCTTAAGACCACTCAGCGCCACCACCACCAATCTTTGAATTGAGAGTCTGTATTAAGAAAGGCTGCCTGGAGAGCAACACTTCTCACAGAGCTGCTCTGGTGCATGTTACAGGGAGTTTTTAAAGACAAAGAAGACAGGAAAACTACCCCATCGTTGGCAGTTGCAGGGAGAAGCAAGCAGCCAAGAGCATGCAGTTAGTTGGGGCATTTAGACCCTGAATTTCTAGATCAGGGTTGGGTGCCTTCCCAAGCAAGAGCATATCAGAAGTAAAGAAGGGAGTATGGTGATCTCCCATCAGGGAAGACACCCACTTGGCAGGTTACAGACATCATTCAAATGACCATTGGCTGCCATGACCAAGGGTTTGTTATTTCAATAACTTACCAGTCAACCAAGATCTGTGGGTGGGTGGGGTGGGGGCATAACACCATCCTAAAGACCATGGGCAGGGGGTGGAAACCAAAGAAAGCTTCAGCTGAGACAAGGTAAAGAAACCTCTCCCCTGTTGCTGGTGGAAGTGAATTTAAAAGAGGTTTCCATGGTGGGTCACATGCTTGGTTTGTAAGCTCTGACTATTGGCATTATCATCTATTCTCATTGCAACCATGTTTGCTTTGTATAACTTTGTCACTTTGCTCTGAGAGAGTTAGGTTTCAGACAACCAGAAATCACAATATTTGCAGCCCTGAGGAGGGCCGTGTGCCATTTTACCATTGCTCTTTCTGTTAAGGCCGCTTAAGATTTCCTGGAACTGTTCACTGCGTCTCAATACATCCTTGAAGCTGAGCATCTCAGAAAAATAGGACACACTAGCCTCCAGAGCATTGAGGTACCTGGATCGGGAGGAAGAGGAACTTAGAATCAGCTTTGTTTCCTCATGGCCACCCCACCTTTAATCTCAGTATGTATCTATCTATCTATCTATCTATCTATCTATCTATCTATCTATCTATCTGTCATCTATCTATTTCTGTGCTGGAATCTTTATCACAGTCAGGTCCACTGTGAATAGACAGTACACATCACGATCCACTGTTTTGGATTGTGGCTAGCAAATGGAGGCAGAGCATGGAGGGAATTTTTAGGGACTCTTGATATGAGTGTACAAATTGTAGACATTTGAGGGGTTCCTTGTGCTGTTTCTCTCCTGCTATGCAAGGAGGTTCTAGCCTGTACTATAAACAAGAAACCTGAAACTATAGACAGAACTTCAGAGTTGGTGAGATGATGTCTGCGCCTGTGTGAACTGGGCACTAATATAGTCCAGTTTCACACCAAGGTTTCTAGGAGCGAGCTCCTGGGGCTGATTTGCCAGTTCCCAGATGTTCGAGCCTGGTGACACCCTGTCTTAAACCATCAAGTAAGTCCTCTGTGGAGAGAGAGGGTAGAACTATCTGGCATCCCGGGTCACCAAATGCTACTTCCACCATTTATACTAGAGTTGCATGGACTTAGGATTTTTTTTTTAAGTTATGTTTTATAATGTTGTGTGGTTTGTGTGCATGTGTGAACACACATAGATGTGTCTCAGCACATGTGTGGCAATCAGATGACAACTTGCAGGAAATGGTTCTCTCCTTCCACCAAGTGAGTCCCAGGGATCCAAGTCAGGTCATCAGGCTTGGCAGCAAGTGCCTTTACAAGTTGAGCTATCTTCTGGGCCCAGACTTATGGTTTTCAATAGGACTAATCGTTCCTTCATTTTCCTATCCCCTTTCCCTCTAAGAAAAGGTGAGTGAGGCCATTTCTAACTGCTTCTGGGTTTAGGCAGAATGAACAGCCTCCAGTGTTGTATCTTCCACACTAGTGTGGAAACGTTGACTTCTGCTTTCATTTTTTATTATCTGTATGCAAGATCATATGTGTTGGTCTTTAGAGGATTCCCCAGGGGAAATCACTAAGACTAACAAGATCGCTTTCAAACCCAGACAGAGTGCCCCAAATGAGGCTATGCTGAGCATTCTTGGGATACGGTATTCATCTTGCCCCTTTGATGAGTAAGAAAGAGGACTGGTGTCCATTCCAACACTGTCACAGACAAAAGGTGGCATTTCTTCATGGTGTACACTCATTAACAGCCTTCCTTACCAGAAGCAGTCTTCAGGCTCTGAACCATTCTTGTAGACATACGAAGAGTTCCAGGAAAAGATTTTGAATGGTGCATCGTTGACTTTCCAAAAATCAACCAAGAAGTACATCAGCTTTCTGGCTGGAGGCAGCACCCTGGTTAGTGTTTCCTTATAGTCACAGGACAATCCAAAACTTCCGGCCGAGATCATGGGATAGCTCAATTGTGTGTCAAGGCTGTGCCAAAGGTGAGAGAAGAACCAATGCCAAGGTTAACTCCAGTAGCACAGAGAAGAGTCCCTTCCTCCTTTTAAGCATGTGTGCATAGATGGCAAGGCTGAACTAGGGTCAGTAAACAGTGTATGGGTAACCCTCTCACACAGGTGACTTTGAAAATAACACTGATTGGTCATATTCTATTCTTAGAGAAAAATGACTATTGATCTATTTCTGAATGACTTCTCGTACTGTCTGGGCTGAGACCTGTGAGCTTTGAGGTTGGGGAGGAGTGAAAACTACAGGTTTAACAACCACGGCTCTTACAGCAGTTAGGTTTTTTTTTTTTTTGTCAACTTTTACACAAGCTAGAGTCATCTGAGAAGAAGGGACAACAGCTGAGGAACTGCCTCCATCAGATTGGACTATAGGCAAGTCTGTGAGGCACTTTCTTGATTGATTACAGATATGGGAGAGCCCAGACCAACATGGGTGATAGCACCCCTGAGTATGTGGTCCTGGATTCTTTAAGAAAGCAGGCTGAGCAAGCCATGGGGAGCAAGCCAGTAAGCAGTACCCCTCCATGGCCTCTGCATCAGCTCTTGCCTTTGGGTTCCTGCCTTGAGTTCCTGTCTTGGCTTCTCTCCATTATGCACTGTGAGCTGTGAGCCGAGATAAACCCTTTCCTCCCCAAGTAGCTTTTGGTCATGGAGTTTATCAAGGCAACAAAAGGCAAACTTGAGGAGCCGTCATAACTGTGATAAAACTAGAAGTGGACCTATGCCTTTTTTGGCTCCGCCTCTGAGGGAGACAGCTAGGGAACATTTATTTATTTATTTTAAACATACAAAGCTCTCTTCTCAGTCGGTAACTCAACCAAGACAGGCCCTGGCCTGGCTTCCTGACTGACTTACTAAACACTCGGGTGCTTGACTGAATCTGTCTTTATCACGAAACTCTCCCTGACCCAAGGCCAGGAGGTTGTGTTGAGTGAGCAGCTGTTGATGCTTCCTCTACTCCCCAGGAAGTTCCTTGAAGTGGGGGTTTCTGGGCTGGCTGGCTTGCCTCTGGCTGCCCAGCTCACACAGGTGCTCGAGATCTGGGTAATGAAAGATGGAAGCGGAGCTCTGCCCCCACCTCCCCACAGGCTGCCCGCTGCCTCTCATGTTCTCGTCAATGTTATCCTTTCTTCCTGTTCCTCAAAACTTTAGCTTGATGGCATTCCCATTTCTTTCAGCGCTTTAACATCCCAAAGACATCTCTGATTTCACCCCAGCTCTCACCTCCACAGCCAATGCCATTGGTTCCACAGCTTTAGCTGCCTTCCCCTGCTTTCTGGTTTTGGCTAAGTCAGGCCCCTCTTGTTTCCTGTGGTCTTTTCTATTGTCAGTCTCTGCTGTGGTTCCACCTACACCTTTGGCAGTTTTTTTTTTACTAACTGTAAACAGTTAATAGAATAAATGTGAAATGAAATGAATGATTTCACAAACTGCAGTGTTGTCAAGGCAACAAACGAGCTTTTCATAGCCCTCCCATGCTCCTAATCTTAGTGATGTCTATTGCCATTCTCGTTAAGTGCAACTCAATGATGCTATCGCATAACTACCGAATATGGCCAATGTAATTTTTCTGACTTATCATCCTTCTGTGTATTTCCCAGACTGCAGTAACTATAAACACTGGCGAATTTGTTCATCGCTGTAACTCTTTGCTTCACATTCTCTTTTTCCTCTGCCTGCCTAGAAAGCCAGTACCTGTCTTCTCTCCATTGAAATCTTACCTGCGTTGACTAGTTTTACACCAACTTGATTGACACAAGCTACAGTCATCCGAGAGGAGGGAGCCTCAATTGAGAAAATGCCTCCATAATATCTGACTGTGGGAGGACCTGTAGGGCATTTTCTTAATTAGTGATTCATAGGGGAGGGCCCAGCCCTTCCTGGGTGGTGCCATCCCTGGGCTGGTGATCATGAGTGCTATGAGAAAGCGGGCTGACAAGCCACGGGGAGCAAGCCAGTCAGCAGTACCGCTGCAAGGCCTCTGCTTTGGCTCCTGGCTCCAGGCTCCCATCCAGTTTGAATCCTTGCCTTGACTTCCCTCAGCAGACTGTGACTCAAGATATGCCAATCAAATCAACTCTTTCTTCTCCAAGTGGCTTTTGGTCATGGCGTTTCATCACAGCAATAGTGACCTTAACTAAATCATTATCTGTCCCCAACACAAAACTCAGACGACTTTCTTCATGATGTATTTCCCTACTTAACCCTCAGTCCTCAAGTAGGGGTGACCACTACCTTCTGTACCTTCTGTAACCTCTGATTTGTTCCTCTGTGAAGGAACCTCTCTCCCTCAGCCTTGTATTGGCCACTGTTGCTGTTACCTCCTCTATTTGGAGGGGAGTATTCTACTCAATTATTTTTCTCTGCTTGGCAAAACTAAAATATGTGTGGGTAGAAGGCTTCCAGAGGGCTGAATCAGTTTTCTGGATTCCCCCTTTCATTTTGAGCAATATCAGTAAATGATCTGTGAGATAAGGAAGAACAGGATTCCATGTGTGTGTGGGAGCTTGTCTCGAAAGTGCTTCTGTAGTGTGCCCGTGTGGTGGGCCTGAGCTTCTGAGGCTGCTGTGCCGCTGGGCGTGAGGCAACACGCTGACTTTCAGTAGAAATCTCAGATTCATGTCGGAACGTACGCTAGTGTGTTTTCCTCTGGATCAGCAAATGGTGTTTCTTAATTCAGAAGGCTGAACAGGGGAAGGCCTGGGGAGGATTTTGACTGCAGAAGGTATGATCTGGCAGAGCAAAGCCAGCTATGCTGAGTGAAATAGATTCAAGGGATGGAGCCAAGATTTCCAAAGCCAGAGGAACAGTTTCCATTCTAGAAGAGAGTGAAGGCTTTTCTCTAAGCTGCTAAGGGTGCCACACAGAGAACTTCAACATGCTATTTCTATTCGAAGGGACAAAGCCCACTGGAGCATATGGCTCCCGCAGGCCTTGCCTTTCTCCCCCAATCCTAGATCACACTCCTAAAGCTAGCCACCCAGGTCTAGTCCCTTATTTGGTTGCTTCCTCCTCTTGAGGCTGACTACCAGCTATCAAAAGCCCCTTTGGGCTCATCTAATTAACACGCCCAGTTAAAATTAAACACCTCATCCTAACATGGGGTTTCCCATTTTTGCCTTTATAAGCTATCATTTGCATATGGGCCACATCTGCCTCCTCTCTATCCAGAGGCAGTCCTTTCTCCCTCTGGGAAAAATAACCCTGCCCCTTTCCCTTGTTCCCTGCCCCATCACCCCCCATCTCCTTTACCACCCCGAACTAGCCTGTTCTAGGACAGACATCCCCTTCTTGTCCTCTTAAAATGACCCCTGCAAGGCCACTTGCTGCTGTTTTTCTGCCTGAGTCAGAAAGCAGCCACTTTTAACTTTTCTTCTCCACTTAATACAGGATATCTCTGTGAAAATGGGTGTTTGGATGTGGTTTGTGCCTAATCCAGGATCTGGGAGGAAGCCCCAAGTGTTTGGGGGTCTCCTTCACTATTCATCTCAAATGACTTTAGGAGATAAGCAGCTGGCTGTTTTCCCACATCTGCAAACTAATGACAGGACAGAGTTCTAAGCCTCTCCCTTCTCTGTGTCCTACCCTCTGCTCACACTTGTGGGGACATTTCCCTCATTAAACTCAAGTGTTCAAGGCTGCCGACTTCCCTTTTTCCTGAGGGTGCTCTCCCTCAGCTTGCTCCCTCCCACACTCACACATGAGTGACTGTGCCTGGGCAGCTACTGTAGTTAGTTATCCCAGAGGAGGTATGGGGGAAGGGAAACAGAGATGGCAAAATACAAGGGGCCCAACATGCCTCTCTGTGTTGCCTTGACAACATGGGTGTTTGTTTGCCTAATCATTTAACACTCAGCCGAAGTACTTACTACATCTGGAAGGTGGAATAGGTGCACGAGGGCCCCATGAGGACACAGCCCATATTGTGTTCTCTCTGTGGGAGAAAAAGAACATTACCGAGGCCTTAGAGAAATCCAGTCATCAACCAATAGACAGAAAAGAGGTGAGAAGGAACACTACGAGAAACGGGATCCCCAAGAGTCTGTATGAGGGGTAGGGAGAAGCTGCTCCTCAGATGGGAAGGAAGGAGGAAAAGACTTGTCTCATCCTCCTCCCATTGCTAACTCTGACCCTAAACGGGGTTTTAAAGAGCTCAAGAGAATTACAGGCGCTCTAAAACCACGTGGGTGTGCAAGACACCCCCTCTTCCAGGCGTCTTGTAAAAGGGCTTCCAGAGATTGCAGACTGTGGGACCACAGTTCTAGAAGTTTCACAGTGACCTGATGGGTCATATGGGTATGCCACACGGGTCAGGATGGGTATGCCACACGGGTCATATGGGTATACCACACGGGTCAGGATGGGTATGCCACACGGGTCAGGATGGGTATGCCACACGGGTCAGGATGGGTATACCACACGGGTCAGGATGGGTATGCCACATCCACTATGTGGATGCCATATTTACTTCTCATCTTGGGAGGCTGAGCAGATTCTAATGTAAGGGTAATGAAGTCCAAGGGAGAAGAAATGGTGCAGGGTGTTATTTGTAACTCATCTTTTGAGATGTGTCTGTTCATTTCATTAGTCCATTAATTGTTAGGGTTGGGTTTTTTTGATATTTAGTATTTTTAGTTTGTTGTATATGGTAGCTATTAATCTCTGTCAAATTTTAGTTACCAATGATTTTCTCTTTTTCCGAAGACTGATTAACTGCTTCCTTTCCTGTACAAATATTTTTAATTTTGTGAATTTCCATTTGTTGAATATTAGTCTCAATTCTTGAACAACCAGAACCCTGTTCTAGAAGTCCTTGCCTATATCAGTATCTAGGAGTGTTTTCTCTACTTTCCCCACTAACAGTTTCAGAGTCTCCCGTTTTATACACAGGTCTTGGGTCTATTTAGAGTTGATCTTTGTGTCAGGTAAAAGATAGGGATCTGGTTTCATTTGTCGACAGGTGGATACACAACTCTCCCAGCACCGTCTGTTGAAGAGGCTGTCTTCTGTCTTTTCTCCAATGTGTATTTGTCACATCTTCGAAGTCAGATGACTACAGCTGTGTGGCTTTACATCTGGGTCTTCTATATCATTCTACTGATCTGTGTGTCTGTCTTTGTGTCAGTACCATGCTGTTTTTCTTAGCATGGCTCTGTAGGATAGCTTAAATTAGATATGTCGAATATTATTCTTTTTGCTCACTGATTATCTGGGTCTTTTTGCTTCCACTATAACTTTAGTTCCTCACCCTCTTATTTCTGTGAAGAATGACATTGTACTTTTGATGTGGATTGCATTACATTTGTATAAAATGTTTTTTGTTTTTTTGTTTTTTTAGAAAAGAGACATTTTGCACGTCTTTAATCCCAGCACTCAGGAGGCAGAGGCAGGCGGATCTTTGTGAGTTTGAGAGGCCAGCCTGGTCTACAGAGAAAGTGTCAGGACAGCCAAGACTATTGCACAGAGAAACCCTGTCCTGAACACCCCCTGCCCAAAGGAGACTTTTTTTTTTTTTTAACAAAGTTAATTCTTTTAATTCTTGAACACTTGAGGTTTTCCAGTTTTCTGGTGTCCGTTTCAACTTTCTTCAGGGCTTTGAGTTTAATGTGGTAGAGGCTTTTCATTTACTTAAATTTATTCCAAGGTTTATGTTCTAGGCAATTGTGAATTTGTGATTTTCTTGACTGTGTTTTCCTGATTTCTTGTATGCATTTCTACCAGCATGTAAGAAGGCTGCTGGGTTTGTGCTAATTTTGTGTTCTGACACTTTACTGGAAGTGTGCAGCAGCTCTGAGAGTCTTCTGGTGGAATCTTCGGGGCTCTCACATATGAAATCTTCCCAGTTACAAATACAACGCTTTGGCTTCTTCCTTTCCTATTAGTACCGTGTTTATTTCCCTCACTTGTCTTACTCCTGTAGCTGAGACGTCCAACATTTTAGCAACAAGAGTGGAAAGGTTTACACCATTACCTCTTGCTTCTCATCTTTGTAGAAATGCTTTTTTTTTTCTTCATTTGTTATGATGTCAACTGTATGTTTGTTTTATATATATGTATATATATATTATACATGTATTATATATATGATCGTGTTGAGTTATATCCCCTCCACTTCTAATATCTGCAGGGCCTTTATCATGAAGGGATGTTTGGATTTGTTTTCAAAAGCATTTATTTAAATGGTAATATGACTTCTGTCCTTGAGTCCCTGTGTGATGTATTATTTATTGATTTTTTAATTATCTATTGACTTAGTATTGAACTAACCCATGCACTTCTAGAATGAAGCTAGCTTGATCATTGTGATGGCTCTCTCTCTCTCTCTCTCTCTCTCTCTCTCTCTCTCTCTCTTTCTGTGGTGTGTGTATGTGTGTGTGTGTGCATACCCACTACTTCAGGTACATGTAGAAGCCTGAAATCGACACCAGATACCTTCCTCGGTCTCTCTGGACTTTGTTTTATGAGATATGATTATTTACTAAACATGGAGTTTGTTAGTTCTTCTAGGGTGGCTCTCAAGCAAGCCACAGGGATCCCCCTGCCTCTACCTCTCCAGGGTTAGAATTTCAGGCACACACTGCTATGCCAGGGAGTTCTAGGGACCAGACTCAGGTCTCATGCTTACAGACTGATGGAGCCACCTCTTCAGTCCTCTGCTGTCTTCTTGAATTTGGTTTACTGGGATTTTTGTTTGTTTGTAGAATCTTTGTGTTTATGCTTATCGGAGGAGATTGGGCTGTAATGTTGTTGTTGTTTCATCTTTATCTGGTTTTGGTATCAGAGCTGGCTTCATACAAAGATTCTGCAAGTGTTTACTCCTTTCTGTTTGGGGGAATTATTTAAGAAAGGTCAATGTTAGTTCTTTCATGGTCTGCTAGAATCCTACACTGAATCCCTCTGGGCCTGGACTCCTTTTAGTCAGGAGATTTTATTTTTTGTTATTGCTTCAGCTCCGTTGCTTGTTGGAGATCTGTTTAACCTGTCTATCTCATCTTTGTCTCACTTTGCAGGTCATATGCATCTAGAAATTTACCCAAACTTCTCACATTTCCCAGTTGACAGAACTAGTGTTCCAAGTATGTCCCTGCAGCTTCTGAGTTTCATTGCTATGTGTTGTGATGGCTCCATTGTCAGCACTAAGTTTATTGATTTGGTTCAGCTCTCTTTCAATGAGTCTTAACCTTGTTGATCATGTTTGCCTTTTTCAAAGAACTAACTTTCTGTTTAATTGATTCTTGTATTTTTTTCCATTTTACTTAATTAATGGGAGTTCTGATTTTAATTACTCCTGTCTATCCTTTGGTCCTGTGTCTCAAGGGCTCTGAGAGGTATCATTAAGTTATTTGTGTGTGTGTGTGATCTCTCTGGTGTTTTAATGTAAGCACTCAGAGTTATGAATTTCCCTCTTAGGAATGTGTTCATTCTATCCCAGATTTTGGCATGTTGCATTTTAATTTTCATTTGATTCTGGGGATATTAAACAGATTTCTTTTTGATGTCTTCAATAATCCATTCATTACACAATAGTTTGTTGTTAATAGTTAATCTCCATAGGTCTGTCAATTTTCTGTAGTTTCTCTTGCTGTAGACTTCTAGCCATATTCTGTATGTGTTAGAATAGAATACAAGAATCTATTTTAGGTTTCTTATATTGTTGAGACTTGCTTAGTGGCCTAACATGTTATCTATGTTAGAGAATATTCCATGGGCTGCTGAGGTGAATACACTCTGCAGTGTTAGTATGGAATGCTTTTTGTATGTGCCTTAGGTCCACTTAATCTATTAAAACATTTAACTGTGCCGGGCGGTGGTGGCGCATGCCTTTAATCCCAGGAGGCAGAGGCAGGTGAATCTCTGTGAGTTCGAGCCCAGCCTGGTCTACAGACTGAGTTCCAGGACAGCCTCCAAAGCTACACAGAGAAACCCTCTCTTGGAGAAACAAACAAACAAACAAACAAACAAACAAACTGTGTTGGTTTCCTGTTGTTTGCTTTTCTGAGACAGGGTTTCTCTGTGTAACAGTTCTGCCTGTCCTGGAACTTGCTGTATAGACCAGGCTGGCCTCAAACTCACAGAGATGGCCTGTTCCTGCCTTCTGAGTGCTGGGCTCAAAGGTGTGGGCCACCAATACCCAGCCCTGTTCATTGCCCGCTGCTCCCAGAATGATCTGTCTATTAGTAAGAGTAGGATATTGAAGTCATATACAATGGTGGCAAATAAAAATTTAAACATCTATCCAAAATACTAAATCTTTAAAAGGACAAAAATTTGAAACTTTTAAAATTAATTTAAAATAAAAAAACCCCTTTATACCACAGTGTATACATAGCATGTTCCAGGAGAACACCTGTCCCTTGGGAACTCTGTGGTACAAAGTCCGGGTGCCCTGGCATCAGGCCATACGGCAGCGTAACCGAAAATGATGCAGGAGATGTTTTGAACAAACATGCCTGCATTTCACACTGTGAATGTGTGACCTATCCATGAAAAGAAGGCACTTACTGTGATTTCCCTGAGCAGGTCAAGGCCTTCACAGGTGCTGCTCCGGCAGTCACCTGACTTATGAATCAGACCATCGGAGTACATGAATGTCGCATTCACAGTCACATTTAGGCCTATTATCAGAAATTTGGGGGGGGATCAGAAAGCAGTGTTAAGCTTCTACAATTTACCCATCTGTGAGGCACTGCCCTCGCTAATGGATTTGGGGGGCTGGGTAGGTATATGTGATAGCTAATCTTGGTTGTCAACTTGACTATATTGGGAAATAACTAAAATCAAGTAACTGGACACATCTGTGAAGGATTTCTCTTGTTGAATTACTTGAGGTGGGAAACCCACCCTAAATCCAGATTACAGGTCTGAAGATCCATGTAGGGAGACACCCTAGTCCCGCCCCAGGCAACCCGGACAGGTGCCAGGTGGACCGGGGACTCGCCCATGAGGGCGGGGTGAAGGGAAGTCGGGGTGACGTAAGGGAAGGTTCTTAAGGGCTGCACATGGAGACCCTGGCCCGTTCTCTCTGGCCGTGCTAGCTTGCTTCCTGTGAGCTCGCTCTGGCTTGCGTTTTGCTCTGGTGTTTACCTGAATAAAGAAGTCTTACCATCATGGACTACAGTTCATCTTTGAGCGCACTCGGTAACCCTTAACAGATCCACCCTAAATCTGGGCCCCTCCTTCTGGTGGCAACCCACATAAAGGACAGAGACTGCATGTATGTGCCTTTCTTTCTTCCCGCTTTCACTCTCACTGCCAAACCCACCCATCCTCATGCATTCCTTCACTGGTGTTGGAACCGACATCTTCAGGACTTAATGTAGACTGAAGACCAGCAGCTCTCCAGGACTCTATGGGACTCCAGCACCAGACTGGGACTGCTGAGACTCCCGTCTCATGGACCAAACAATCCTGGAGTCCTGGTCTTACTGTCAGGAGACAGCCTTTGTGGGATTATTCAGACCACAGCCTGTGAGTCAGTCCAATCAATTTCTTACTAACATACAGATGTATGTTCTGTTCCCCAGAGAAGCCTGTCTGACCAAATATCCAAGTTCAGGTCCCAGGATATGCTAATTGAGTTCTTCTTTTCCTCTTTCTCCTCTTTCCCACCTTCCCTATTTTTTCTTTCTCTCACTTTATAGAGATATAATTTACCCATCATAGAACTCATCCACTATGAAAATATGGATGGGAGTGTGATTTGATAATTGTCTGTACATGTATAGAGTCAAGAAATCACCAAGGCCCAGTTTAAGAGCATCACAGCTCTCTTCATCTTTTCGTAACTCCAGAATAGCAAGCTCCATCATGGACTGCAAAGCAGGCCCAGATGGCATCTTGTTCTTCCATGTCTCCAAGTTGCTGCTACTTCACGTAAAGTACAGTCCTCTTTATTATCCATCCAACAGTCAACGCATGGTTACTCCATTCCTGCAATGTCCCCTGCACTCTTCTATAAGCTCTTGGTACGGCATTGAGTAAAACCAGACCCTGCCTCCCTGAGGTCTACATTTTCCCCGGGAGATCACACAGAATGGTGTTATTGCCGATGGCACGGTGATGGGAGCCCCACTCGGGGTGCCAGGACCCGAGAGAGGTAAGACTGTGAGGCACACACATGTACAGTTTCTGGGTAGGGAAAAAACAAGGAACAGCCAAGGATCATCCTTGGTATGTCTCAGAAGCACCAGGGAAGCCTGTGTACTCACTGTTAGTGAGCCAGGGATAGACTAGACATGGGTGGTACTGAAAGATCATGCCAGGCATGTGTGTGCATTTCATTGTAGAATGCAATAGTTCTGGAGCATTTTGAGTAAAGAAATTATGATATCTCACTGTCATTTTCAAAGGATTTCTGATGGGGGAGCAAATTGTGGAAATCAAGAAGAGAAAGAAGCAGGGAGGCTAGTTAGAGGACTACTGACAACTTAGACTAGCTTGGAATAATCTAGTAGCAGCATATTGGAGGCAGTAAGTGGTTGTATTTTGAATGTAATTTGAGGGTAGGGCCAGTGAGAAATTGCTGATGGATGACACTTAGGAAAAAGAGGATGCAGGTGTCTTCAATATTTTTGTTCTGAGGAAGTGGATAATGGGGACTGTTACCTGTGAATGAAGGAACGAATAAGGGAAGGGCATGTTTGTGAATGTGGAGTGGTAAAGAAGGATCAAGAGCTTTCTTTGGTGGGAAGCTGAAGGGGGATGTCCTTCTGGATATATGTTTCTCTTACTGGTTGATGAATAAAACACTGATTGGCCAGTAGCCAGGCAGGAAGTATAGGTGGGGCTACCAGATGAAGAGAGTGCTGGGGAGAGGGAGGCAGAAAGAAGCCACCAGGAAGAGATGCCATGTAGCTACGGGGAAGATAGGACACCAGAAGTTCTCTGGTAAGATAAAACCATGTAGAAATACATAGGTTAGTAGTTATGAGTTACTAATTAAGAGAGAACTAGCCAGTAAGAATCCCAAGTCATTGGCCAACAATTTAATTATTAATATGTCTCTGTGTGCTTATTTGGGGATGAAGGGCAGCAGCACCTGGTGCGATAGAAACTCAGACTACCGGAAGCCAGTCTTCATAAGCCTTACACTTGAGCAGTGGAGACCAGAGGATCTGGAATGCATGGTCAACCTGGGCTACATGAAAACCTCTTTTCAAACAATACAACAATATAAAACAAAACAAAAACTCATCAGGTGACATTTTGGGTGTGAGATGCTTAATAGATTTCCCAGTGGATGTGGAAAGCAACCAAATATACCAGTAGGAATAGTTGTTAGTGCCAGTACACTTAGTGATTTTTAAAATGTCAAGAAAACCCAGCTTGAGCTGAAAGCTGCAATGGGATTATCATCCCATTGTCCCATGTGTAATAAAGAATGGACTTTGACATTGAAACCACGATTGTCTGGACTTGTACCCCCAGAGGCCATAAGAGGGCATAGGATGCCTTGGAACTGGGGTTTCAGATAGTGGATAGTTGCTCTGAGTGTTGGGAACTGAACCCAGATCTTCTGCAAGAGCATCAAGTGTGCTTAAAGGCTGAGCCATCTCACAGCCCAAGAACACCACTCTTTTGTTTGTTTGTTAGGCAGAGTTTCTCTGTGTAACAGCCCTGGCTGTCCTGGAACTCACTCTGTAGACCAGGCTGGCCTCAAACTCAATAGAGAGCCACCTGCCTCTGCCTTGTGAGTGCTGGTATTAAAGGCATGGGCCACTATGCCTGGCTTAGAACACCACTTTTTATATTAAGCATTTCCTGAAGACAAAGTGACCTGTGTTCATCCCTGCTTGGGGTGTTTCGATAACAAAGAGTTCTTATATTTAGGTGAGCATGACGCTAAAATTCCTGTGTGTTGCTAGGCACCACATCTTAACAATAATAAAGACTGGCAGAACCATTCGAACAGCTTTTTCTCTGAAATGTTGCCCTCCTTCCAGTGACAGGAAAACGCAGGACAAATGAGGAATGGCTTTCTGGAAGTCAGGTATGAGTGACATTCTCTGTGTTCTTCATAAACCATTTGAATCTCCCTGACTTTGGTTTCATTACATGTAAAAGTGAGGTCAAAGCCAGGTTTGTCCAACATGGCACATTTCAATAATATCTTAAAAAGAGTAAAGTCTAGCCAAAGCAGAAGAAATTTTTTAGAGCATCCAAAAGTATGTGTCTGTAAATATTGAGGCCTCCTTCTTCTAAGAATAGAAGTAATTTGTCCCACAGTTACTGCGGAGATGTAGCTGTTCTATAAGAAAGCAGGCTGAGCAAGCCATGGTGAGCAAGCCGGTAAGCAGTACCCACCCATGGCCTTGCATCAGCTCCTGTCTCTGGGTTCCTAGCCTGACTTCCAATTGTAAGGTACAAGATAAAATAAACCCTTTCCCCCAAGTTGCTTTTGATCCTTGTGTTTTATCTCAGCAGTTGAATTCTTAAGTACATTATCTCCCAAGAATGTTTTCCATTCTTATCCTAGGCACACCCCAACCCCACCAGTGAGCTCGGTCCTCAGAAGATGGGCAGAAAACTGAATCAGGGTTTACAGTGGTCTCAGAACTCCCGCTCTCCTCCCCAGGGCTCTGAGGATGGGGTTGGACCAATATGAAGCAGCATCTACATGCTGAGGTCTGGGTGGGGGGACCCCCAGCACCTGAGACCATGCACGGGGTATGGACTGTGTATTTAGCCTCGGAACACATATTCTCACGGAGATGAGGCCTTAGGGCTGAAGGAATCTTTTTTTTCTCATTATTTCTACCATTTTCCCACATTACTTTCTAATTATTCTTCCATATCCCCCATAGCTCTACTAAGTCCCCCCAAAAAAGCTAACCACTTATGTTGGGATATCACCCTCAACCTTTAAATTGTCAATATTTCTCAATTAGCCCTCACATAGTGTTTTAAATTAGTTTCCAAATGATATGTTTGACATATTTAGAATATCTGGTTTCTAGCCTGCTCCTCTTGTGTTTAGTATTTATGAACATATTACAGAATGGGTTGTTGAGTGCCAACATCTAGGCATCTGTTTGTTCTTCCTTCTCCAATGGACCCATTCTTCCACCTCAGCTTTGTAACTCTTACAATTGAGTGCTGCTGGTATAACTGGCTGTCAACACGTAGAAGGATGCAAATAGATCTGTATCTGTCGCCATGCACAAAACTCAAGTCCAAATGGATCAAAGACTTCAATATAAATTCATCCACCTTGAACCTCATAAAAGAGAAAGTGGGAAATACATTTGAACACATAGGCACAGGAGACCACTTCCTAAATAGAACACCAGTATCACAGACTCTGAGAGCAACAATTAATAAATGAAACCTCCTGAAATGGAGAAGCCTCTGTAAAGCAAAGAACACCGTCAGCAAGATAAAATGGTTCCCTATAGAATGGGAAAAGATCTTCACCAACCCCACATCAGACAGAGGGCTGATCTCCAAAACATACGAAGAACCCAAGAAACTAGACCTTGAACTATCAAATAATCCAATTTAAAAACTGAGGTACAGATCTAAATAAAGAATTCTCAACAGAACAATCTCAAATGGCAGAAAGACACTTACAGAAATGCTTAACATCCTTAGTCATCAGGGAAATGCAAATCAAAACAACTCTGAGATTCCATCTTACACTGATCAGAATGGCCAAGATCAAAAACACCAATGACAGCTTATGCTGGAGAGGATGTGGAGAAAGGAGAATACTCCTCCACTGCTGGTGGGAGTGCCAACTTACTGTACAGCTACTGTGGAAATCAGTATGGTGATTTCTCAGAAAATTAGGGATCAACCTACCCCAAGACCCTGCAATACCACTGTTGGGCATATACCCTAAGGAGGCACATTCACACCACAAGGACATTTGCTCAGCTATGTTCATAGCAACATTATTTGTAATAGCCAGATCTTGGACAAAGCCTAGATGCCCCTCAACTGAAGAATGGATAAGGAAAATGTGGTATATTTACCCAATGGAGTACTACTCAGTGGTAAGAAACAATGACATCCTAAAATTCGAAGACAAATGAACACAACTAGAAAAAACCATCCTAAGAGGTAACCCAAAACCAGACAGACAAATATAGTATGTACTCACTCATAAGTGGATACCAGACATAAAGCAAAAGATACCCAGCCTACAATCCACAACCCCAGAGTTGCTTGAACCCTCTGCCAGAAACAGGTGGAAGCAGATGCAGAAATCCACAACCAACCAATGGGCCAAGCTCCTGGAATACAATCAAAGTGATGGAGGAGCAATAATATGAACAAAGGAGTCAAGACCATGCTGGGGAAAGCCACAGAATCAGCTGACCGGAAGTTAGTGAGAGATCAATGATTTAGGTCTGACAAATGGGGAACCTGCATAAGACCGAACTAGACTCCCTTAATGTAGGTGACAATGGTGTGACTGGAACAATATATGAGGCCACTGGCACTGTGTCTAAGATCTAACACTAATGCACAAGCTGACTTAGTGGAGCCCATTCTATATGGAGAGGTACCTTGCTCTGCCTAGACACAGGGGTGTGCGGGTTGGTCCTGCCTCAACTAGATGATGGGACCGACTTAGTAGATTTCCTAGGAGAGGCCTTACCCTCTCCATGGAGCAGATTGGAGGAGGGGGAAGTGTAGGGAGTGGGTGGGAAGGAGGCAGGGGGAACAGGGATTGGAATGTAAAAATTAAATTAATAAATAAAATGAGATGAGTGTGTGAAACATCACTCAATGACTAAGTAGTGGGGCAGAGTTTCAAATTCAGGCTGCATGAACTTAGATACCAAGATGGGAACCAATACCCTTCACTGATTGTTTGATGTGCCAGGCAACATGTTCTCTTAATGCCATCAATACTATTCGCAAAGGTGCCACAAACAACTGCCGTTTACTGAGTGCTGGTGTGTTCCAGTGCCAGAAGTACTTCCGTAGGTTTTCTCATCCACACTTTACCCACAGGCCGTGACTGCCATTCATCCTGGTTTTCTAGGAGACGAAACTGAGCTTCAGTGAAGTTAGGTGACTCGCTTCGGGTAAATAGTCAGGAATACGAACCAAGTTCTATCAGAATGGGAATCATTGCTGCTGACAATATCCCGTTGCTTTGTCTTAATGAAAAGAGTAGCTGATGGTGGGTCATTTACAGCGCAAGTATGACGCACTCATGGGACTCAACCAGAAATGGACCTACATCTCATTTAAATGGCCCTTACATAGAACGATTGACTTCTGCTGTTTAATCAGTGTCTGCCATGGCAACCCCACAGAGTTGCAGTTACTGAGGAGATGGTGTAATGGAACTCTCCAGAACTTCCCTGGCACGTGACAGATACTCAGGAAACAAATGAAGTCTCAGAGAGATAGAGATGCTTAACACCCAGGGTTACACAGAGAATCTTAACCCAAGTTCTTAGATTTCAAACTCAGCGTCCTTCCCACTGGACCACACTGCCTCTCAGTAAACATGTACATGTTATTACACAGCCTCCTAGTTCTATTACAGGTCTGGATCAGACAGGTTCATGTGCATCTGAATCTAGTTTGGAAACAACTGGGAAAATGACATACATGCACAGAAGTAAGTTCTTATGGATATATGACTGTTGCTCTCAACCCCAAGCGAATTTAAACAGAAATGAATATACGCCATCTTCAAGACACAAAGTAACCATTAGGATGGATCAAGTACTTACTGACTTAGTAATTCTACGTATGGTAATATAGTCTCAGAGAATGGAGAAAGATATTTATAAGAAAAAGGTTTGTAGTATTGTGAAAATAATCACAATTAGGAACTAAAAACAACTAGATATTTTTCTACAAGAGACTCTTTAGGAGAGGAGAGTAGGAGGATGGGAGGGAGAGGGTACTGGGATTGGTATGTAAAATAAGGTTGTTTTTAATTTAAATTAAAAAATGAAAAAAGAGACTCTTTATTAGGCGATTTAGGTGGTGTCTAGTCTATTAGGCGATTTAGGTGGTGTCTAGTCTAAGGGACACCTTGTGAACATCCGCATGACTACTGTGCTGGCAATGTCGCCCTACAAAAGTCACTCGTGGGATAATATGATATGATCCAGAGGGTGCAAGATATCCCTATGCTGTACTGATCACCATAGTCTCCAAAACAAGTCACCAAGAAAGAATATACAGATGGTGCCAAATTATTATGAAGCTCCTGTTGGTTTTTTGCTTTTTTTTCTTTATATCTTCTTTACATGTTTTACGTCAAATTAAAAATTGATTTTTATGAGTAAAAGATAAAGTCAAGAAGACAACAATTAATTTGATTGCAAACAAAGTCCTGGCTGTATCTGATAATGGGAGATAGGCCAGAGCAAAATCTTGCTGTGGACAAAAAAGTGCAGAGAAAAGCTCAATACCTGTATGAGTTTCTTCCTTCTTGACCAGGAACCCTCTGGGGCCTCAGGGCCAGCCCACACCTTGCACCTGAACAGCTACTGAAGGGAAGCATGGTATCTCAGCTGGGCAATGGACCCAGTTTTAAGTGGCATGTGTCCCTGCCGTGAAGGCTTTACTTGGCTTCCAGCAGGACCATAAGCTCACTCCAGCACTGCTCCCCAGGAAGGAAAGCAAGGGGTTTTGAGATAAACATAGAGGAGTTTAGACGACCAGGCAAAGTCTGCAAGGTCTCTGCCAGACACCTAGCAAGGGGTGGAACAGAAAAAGGAGGAATCCTTGGTCACAGTCTTACCGGCTTCACTCAGGCGCTCGCGCACTATGGCCAGGCCTTCGTTAACAGCATCGCTCAAGTTTTCCAAGGGCTCTTTGTAGGCTGAATTGTTCATCATCAGGACGCTGATGTGGTAGGTGCCATTGTGGCAGTTCTTTCTCATCTGGGAGGTCCAGAATGCCTGCCTGGGCTGGAAGAGCGTTAACCACGCAGCCAAGGCCAGCAGTGATGTCTTCATGACCCGCTCACCTCAGCACCATGCCCCTGGGGTGGATTGCTTCTGGAGATGCAGTGAGCCCCTCTGGACAGTCGGTAGCAGAGTCCGTTGGTCCTCTCTTCCCCCCACACCTTTCTGGTCTTGCCACACTGGTCACACGGGCCCGTGAGACTCAGCCTGCCTGCCAGTAATTAGCAGGTACATTATGGTCGGAGGTAAAGCAAAGTTCACTTGGTGTGTTTGCACACAGAAAGGTCAGAGCTATAAACAGCAGGATTACCAGGGCCTCGTCCAATAAAAATACACCAGTTTGTGACACATCACTGGGAAGAGGGAAAAGAGGAAGGGAGCAGTATATTTTACATAGCAGGCTTTATGAAATGGAAAATAGAGGTCGAAGGGCTTGGGGAAAGAGCACACGTGATGGCCCATCAGCACTCCAAATGGAAACCTGCTGCCAAGGGCTGTGCATCCTTCATCCAGCGAGGGTCCGTTTGTCGCGGGACAGTAGCGAGGCTCTGGGGACATAATCGTGAAAGATGTGGCTACATGAACGTCCTTGTGGAGCGTGCATTCATTCTAATGGGGGAGACAAACTGGACTGGTGGATAGCTTAGGTCAACAATGAAGAAAACTCTAGAAGGATGTGGGAACACACGGAAAATTAATATAATCTCTTCTAGAAGGTGAAGGAAGCTTCCCTGAGACCATACGTGTCCCTACGCCGAGCTCTGAAGGAGATGGATGGGCAGGAGAAGAGCCTGGGAAATACATTGGGGGTTTAGGTTGTATTCTAAAAGTCACAGAGGGGACTTTACATGGGGAGTTTTTTATTTTTTAAATTTGTGATGCTGAGGATGTAACTTAGTCCCCTACATGAATCAAATTACTTAAAAAAAATCTGTATGTTTATGTGTGTCTGTGGACATACCATGGTGCACATGGTTAGAGGGCAGCCATTAGTGTTGGCACTAGTCTTCCACCTCCAGACGGGGTCTCTTCATTTGTACCTGTGTCCAGTAGACCAGCTGGCCTGGGAGTTCCCCTGTGGCCATGCTGGGATTACATATGCACACTGCTGTGTCTGACTGCACGTGGGTTCTGGGGATCCAAACTCAAGTTCTCACAGGTGTGTGCAAGCTCCTTACTTACTGAGCCAAGTCCATAGCCCATCAAGTGACTTTTGAAATCATTCATGTGTCAAGGAGGTGATGCCCTTTTAGCATTGGTTCCCTTGACCTAGCCTAACTGGTTCTGGTGTTTGGTCCAGGTATGGTTACTACAAGTAAAAGCACCTTGTGAAATGTTCCTTAAAGCAAACCGCAGGGGATAGGATTACTAAAAGTAAATGGCACTTTACACGGGACTCATTTTTAAAAAAGATTTATTTATTTATCTATGATATATGGAGGTAGAATGTTGTATACATAATGAATAAATAAATCTTTAAAAAGGGGGGGGGGACTGGCGAGATGGCTCAGAGGTTAAGAGCGCTGGCTGTTCTTCCAGAGGTCATGGGTTCAATTCCCAGCAACCACATAGTGGCTCACAACCATCTGTAATGAGATATGGTGCCCTCTTCTGGCCTGCAGGCATATATATTTATTTATCTATGTGTGTGTACCTTCGTGAGTTTATTTGCAACATGTGCGTCCAGGTACCCACAGAGGCCAGAGGAGAGTGTCAGGACCCCCCCCCGCCCCCGGATCCAGAGTTCCAGTGATTCTGTGCTTGGAACCAAACCTGGCTTTTCTGCAGGAGCAGTAAGCCCTTTTAACTGCTGATCCATCTCCCCAAATCCATGTACTCATCATCCTCCTCTGCTCACACTAGCCACAAACCTGAAAACTAGGCTGGTTCCAGAAGTCTACTCAGCTGTTGAAAAGAAGTGTCTCTCCTGCCAAAAGTGGAGAGGAATCAGAGTACTAACTGGAAAGCTGACCTCAGGACAGGGGGTATTCTATTAGGTTAAATGATACGAAAGAGCTGGTATGAAAGAAGGGGGGAAGGCATAGATGAGGAGAGCCAATTAAGAGATGGTTCAGGAAACTGTGAAGCAAGGGATTCTCAAGACAACCCAGTTTTATGCGGCACTTAAAACACATGTATACTGCTAGACACATGGCTTTGAGCCCCAATGGTTTGTGGGTGGGGCTCACAAATTCACCTCCTGAAGGAGGAGGCTCGGTATGTGGTAAGAGTTAAAGGCGAGCTTGAGTAGCCATAGGCTTAAAGAGAAAGGGTAATCTGGAAAACTCCTGTAATGAGTGAGTGAAGGAACTATGAGGCACACCAATAAGGTTGTTTAGCTGTGAGCAGTGAGGTTAGTGACTGTGAATTCACTGACGGTTGTCACTCGGTTTTATGATTTTTCTCCAGCAAAGTTCAACTGCTTAGCAATAGGCACAGGAAAGTAAGTGACTGGACCTATTTGGAAGTGGAAAATTTCTAGGTAGGCACAATGAAATATTAGTGGGTCTGAAAAATGGGGGGGGGGTTATCCAAGGAGGCAGACTGCAATGCCAAACCGAATGAAGAGCTGGGTATAGTGGTATACAGCAGTCCCGGCATTAGGTGGGTGGAGTGACACAGTGTATACAACAGTCCCGGCATTGGGCAGGTGGAGGGGGGCATAGTGTATACAATCCTCCCAGCAATGGGCGGGTGGGGGGCATAGTGTATACAGCAGTCCTGGCATTGGGCAGGTGGGGTGACACAGTGTATACAGCAGTCCCGGCACTGGGAGGGTGGGGGGCATAGTGTATACAGTAGTCCCGGCATGGGTGGGTGGGGTGACATAGTGTATACAGCAGTCCTGGCATTGGGTGGGTGGAGGAGGTTTGTGAGGCAAGGCCAGCCTGAGTTCTGACCCTGTCTAGAATCCCAGCAGCAGCAGACAAGTGAACGAGGAGGGACGTGGGTGCTGCAGGGGAGTGAGGAAGATGAATGGGAGGACGGAGGAGCCAGTGAGGTGGAGAGTAACGTGGAGGAGCCCCTGCAGCAGGGACCCGGATGGCAGCGTCTGAGGCAGGCGGTGAGCTTTCCGCACTACGGATTTGAATAGCTCAGGGCGGCTGACTGAGCTGGTGGAGGGCAGCGTATTTGAATAGGAGCTGGGAGTCTGAGCAAGCCCGAGGGAGAGACAAACAGCAGGCAGGGGCTCTAGAGGGGAGCCGGCTCCATGCATGGGGAGAGGGGCAATCACAGCAATTCACAGAAAAGGCCAGAGAGTGGTGACTGCGTCGTGTCAAGACCAAAGACCCTTTTCAAATGACAAAGCACATCAGTGTACAAAGGATAAATATGCGGATTGGGAGAACAAGGCAGTGAGCATGCGCACAATAAGAGCAGAATGAAGACTCACGTGCCCACATTCCCAACACCTAGGATAGAAACGACTCCTACCTATGACCTTTGCACTCCCATGCACCATATCCCTAAGACTTCTCTTTTTCCTGCTGGGATAGCCAATGGGTGTAGAAAACAATCTGTGAAGACGTAACAAGGCACTTGCTGGTGTGGCACAGGTGACCCTGAGTTCACAGGTGACTGGATAGAGGTCACAGGCACTGGATAGCAAGGGAGAAAGAGCACTTTGGTGAGGAAGGAATGCTGGAGGAGACGCAGTACCAAAGGCCGGAGCTGCGGGTGTGGTCGAGGTGGAGCCCTGTGAGTTCAATCCCAAGCCTCCCACAGAAGGCGAGTGGGTGCTCAGGCTGCACGGAGCCGGCTCAGCGACTATGGAAGGGGAGGCTGCCGTGGTTATTTTACAGGGTAGAGTGGGCTGTGCTGCGTGACGGGTGGTGGTCACGGCACTTGGAGAGTGTGTGATGGCCAGTCTTGTTTATTGACTTGGCGGGACTTAGATTCACCTAGAAGGCAGACAAACCACTAGGAGGGCATTTCCAGAAAGGATTAACTGGGGAGGCAGGCTCACTTTGGAAGTGGTTTTCTGGGGTCCCAGACTGAGTGGGGAGGAGGAAGGAATGGAGTGCCAGTACTGATTCTGCTGTGATTCCCAAGTCCTCCTCCTCCTCCTCCTCCTCCTCCCCCCTCCTCCACCCTCCTCCTCCTCCTCCTCTGGGTTATAACTCAAGCTCTTCTCATCACCCTGCCTGTCCCACTCTGGTTGGCTGTGCCCTGAAGCTAACAAGCCAATAAACTCTTCTTTCCCGGAGTTGCCTTGGTTCAATATTTTGCTACAGTGATGAGACCGGAGGTAATACTGAAGCTTGGTACTAAGGTAGGGCCATGGCTATGGTAAAGCTCACCAGGTGGTTCTTAGGCTCTGAGAGCCAGTCTGTGGAGGGAATGTGGGAGAGTCCACAGCTGCTGACCTCAGAAGCCCTGGGGACGCTGCAAGTAGAACTTAAAGAAAGGCCTTTGTGGTGGAAGCCTAGAAGACCAGAATGCTGAGATAAATTCAGTCAGTGGAAGCCTGGCTCATGAAGCTTCAAAGGGAAAAGGGCCTCCATTGAGAATGAGTGTAAAGGTCATTTATGTAATACTGTAGAGAAGAATCGGACTTTACTCTGCCAGGGTCCTGAAGGAAGCCTTGCATAAGGCTAAACTCAAGAGCAAGGGCCCACCAGGTTGCTTGGTGGAGGAGACTTCAAGACGGTATAATGTCAGGTTGTGGCATGGTTGTGGCTTACTGCTCTTAGTCAGAGTTACAATGAGACAGAAGAAAAATGTGGGAAATGCACGGTTGGTGAAGGAAGGAAAAAGAGTGACCTTAAAATCGCAGACAAGAAGGGTTCACACAAAGCAGCCGTATTATTCAAGGGATTAGAGTCATAAAGGGAAACTTGGCTCTGCAGTGGGACGGTCAGGTGGTCTGAGTCCAGGACCCCACCTACAGACGGCTCCAGCTTGTCATCAAATTACTTTGACAGAAGAGAGCATCAGCTGGGACTGCCACCAGAGAGGGTTCCCTCCTCCGGCTCCGAAATGGCTTTACAGGAGTGGAAGATGAGATTAAGGAGGTCGTGGAGGCTTGCCCCAAGGTTCCAGAAAACCTC